CCTACTTAGTCTTGCCTTGGAGGATCTTGGGGTGCATCTCAGTAGGTGGTGATTTCGGGGGTGGGGAGGGAAGCTGGGGCTTCCCTACTAAAGGAGATGTACTGGAGATTTCCTGGGTGGGTGCATCTAAGTAAGGAAGGCCTGGGTTTCCCTGCTTATGGAGATGTACCCCCGGGACCTCCTGGGCATGTCTGTCAGCAGGAGGTCCCGGGTTCCTTGCTTAAGGAGATCTGCTAGGGAGATCCAGCATGTGCATCTAAGTGGGGGGAAACCCCTGGTTTTCTGCTTAGAGATGTGCCCCTGGGAGGCACAGGAACCGGGCAATCCCTTGCTCCCACATCACCCTAGGTCTCTGCTTCAGGACCCACAATGACCCACGCCTCTGTGCGAAGTACAAAACTCGGTGCGGGTGCCGGTGTGGAGGCACAGGGCATTTCTTATGTCCGGTTCCTCCTTGCAGGACCTTGGGTCTGTGCCCACTGCTGCCTCCTGATCTCTGTCTCCTGCCCACTTCTGAGTGGCACCAGAGCTTGCCCTCGGGGTGTCTTTATCGACTCATCCCTGGACCCATCGATATGGAGTGGGAGTGGGCAGATGAGATGTGATCAAGACCAGTGTCCTTGAGAGAGCTATGCAGACATCCCCTAGCCCTCCTGGTGCCTTGGTTTCCTGTCTGGCTAAAATGGCTGATGCCTCTTGAGGGAGGTCATGAGGAGGAATACATTGTCAAGTTAATTAAATTAAATTAAATTAATTAATTTTTTTTGAAGCGCTCAAAGACTGGGGATGGACCAGGCATAGGTTAGTACCTAGATAAGGGGAAAAATGACAAGTGTATGGTGGCCCCCTGTGCAGGAACGTATTGGTTGCATCGTTTAATACATAAATATGCTCACAGCAATTAGCCTGCCTCGGCTTAGTAGATATGGCAGCAAATCTAAAGTCTGTGACGTTTAAACGTCTGTGTGTGTTGAACAGGAAAGTGCTAATACTGCTGGTCAACACGGGTGTGATTCAACGTTGAGCGTGCCGTCTGTCAGCCAGGCACTCTGCGAGAGTTAAATGCACAAGCAGTGACACTTCAGACATTTTAAATGTAATTTGTGGGAAATGTTTGCAAATTGGAGCTGCAAAGATCATAAAAGAGGTAAGACTCTGCCCTTCGGCCCTCCACATTTATCTTGTAGATATGAGAGACTGTGACACCATTCTTCACATCTGCTGCAGCGATTGTTAAAACAGTTCAAGGTTGTACTGGAACGTCTAGAAATAGAAAGCAGGCTGCCAGTGCTCTCTTCAGCTCTCAAGGAGTCCTCGCTATTAATGCACAGCGGCTATGTCAGCTGGAAGAACGGTCTTTTGGCCAAGGACTCGGGAGAGATGGGTTCGGTTCTCTGCTCCGCTATGGGGTCTTCGGGACGCCGGGCAGATTGTTAAATCTCTGTACAACAGTTTCCTCTCTACAAGACACTTCTGGCAGAATAAATCCCTGTCGTTATAGCAGCAGAGCAGTTTCTACTACCCCCTGTATTCACAAATTGAGCATGGAGAACACGTTCCTGTGTAGGTTGAGATAATGTAATTGCCAGTCTCTTTCCGAAGGCAACACTCTTCAGAAAGTTTGAGGGGAAAATCTGTCTGAGCTACATTTGAATTAAGGTTAAAAAAAAAAAGAAAATTCTCTGAGATGGTGACCAGCTTTTCTGAGACCTAAAACATGCTTCTTCTCCAAAAATACAAGCTAACAGTCTTCACTGAGGAATGAAGGCTTGGCAAAGTATTTGGGGCAGGGGAAATTAAGTAACATCATTACCCTAAGTACTATGCTGTACTTCAACAGGGCCCTGTTTCGATGTGTGCAATGGCTGATTTTTTTTTTTTTTTTTTTATTTGTGTGCAGGATGAGAATATGGCTAAGAATGTCTTTAAAAAAAGTCTGTCCAGAGAAAAGATGGAATGCCAGGTAAATGTAAAAGATATAAGTTGGATTTTAGGATGAGAGTTTGATTTTTTTTTTTTTTTTTTTTTTTTTTGGAAGCGGGGTAGAGCTTCCATAGGAAAACATCCAGACACGTGGTTTTGCTCTTCACTGCCGGGGCTTCGGGCAGGGCATTGCCGGGGAAGGGATCGGAGAAAGGATCTTTCTACCCAGCCAGCGCAGCAGCAGTTTGCTGCTCACTTGGTGTTCCTTCTTCCAAAGGACACTGTCCATTGAATCCTGTCTTCAATTAATTAAAGGCATTTCTTCAGTTTCTTGCACTCGAGCTTACAGATCTTGTCTTTCACTGTAGCACTGACCTTCCCAATCGTGCCTGGATGTTTAGCAACTGCTGCTGTTTAATAATTAGGGTCATTATGCAGCCAACCATCTGCTGCAGTGGCAACGTTTTGCAAATCTCCACCCCCCTCCCTGCCACCCTTCAGTTAAGCTACCAGTGCAGGGGGACTAGGTAGGGGATGCCAACCCTTGGCACGTAACCCACAAGTGGCACGTGCAGCCTCTGGGTGGACCATGGCAGATGGGGCAGAAAGCAGAGCTACATATTGGGAAGAAGGGGATTGGTGTGGTGCTAGGGGTGCAGGACTGAATTTGTCTGGACCCAGAGCCAGTCAATGTTTCCATTGATCAATGGCTCAAACATGGGAGAAACCAATATGGGAGTTGGCCAAGTTCCACGGATGCATTTGTGGCACTGCGATTCCCCAGTATGAGTCGTGGATGCAGAGCTTGGCTTGACTTCAGCTTTTTTGGGTGCCTGTTAAACAGGCTGGATCTCCTGGAGTAGATGATCCTTGAGGTCCCTTCCTACCTGATAACTCTGTGTGCATATAAATATATTCCAGCTCTGCCATTTGTAATTTTAGGTAAAGAAATACAGTCAGACCCCGAGTTACATGGGGGATACGTTCCTGAAAAACACCGTGTAACTTGAGGCATTAAGTCAATGGAAAACAGGAGGGATAGGGACCTGGGACCAAGATTTGATAACATTATTTCATAATAAAAGGATATTTAAACACAAAATAATGGAATTAATAGCCTTATTAAAATCTCTACTCCTGGCTACGTGCTCATACAGAGACAGAGCTTTAGCCCCAGTTGCCGTGCTGTCGACAACTGCTCTGGTCATTTCATTCATCCAAAGATTAAGGAGTTTCTCAAGCTCGTCTCAATGACTAGTCACCGACAACACTCTCGAACTTGCAGGGATTGCCGTTTTCACATAATGTCTGATTTTTTGCTCACTTTTTTTTTTTAATGGTACACACAGTTATTCACTTAACCTGTATTGGTGAGCAATCGATGCAGCACTATTGCTTTCTCTGAATTTGTCAAGGATTTCTATTTTCTGGGCCAGGGTGATAGACTTACGTGCTCTTTTGGGCACAACATCAAAGACTTTCTTTGACGCCATTTTTTTACAAATATTCATGGGTTAACATAACCAAAAATGGTGGTCAATCTTGGAGGAGATGACCAGTGATGCTAACGCTATGTAAGCAGACTCCAGATTAACAACCGCTCTACCACAAACAGTGTAAACGTGAAGCAGCGTGTTGCGTAAGTTGAAACATGGTCACGTTAAATAAAGCATGTATACGTGAATCGGTGTAACCTGAAACCATGTAACGGGGGGTCCGCCTGTACTCATATATTCCATTCCTGTGTACAGTCTGTTTTCACTCTCATCCTTCCTCTCTCTCAGCATCACAATGTGATAGCATAATTGTGTTTCAAATGCAGTAGTATTTGGTTGTGGGGCATAAAACTGCAACTGGAACTTTTAAAAGAAAAACTTTCATATTGGCCTTGGAGTTCAAAAACAATCATTTGCAGAATTTGAGCCTAAAGTCAAATGTATCCTGGTATGCTCTTTTTTTTAGTATATGGAACATCAAACTTTAACAAACTGGTATTTGTCCAGTGGATGTCCTTATATGACAAAGAAAATACTATGCTTATAATTGCTTGTTAGTTCAATCTGTTACAAATTAAACAGAGTGGATTTTTGGGAGCTATTGGGAAATGTTTCCTGTTGTGGAAATTTTAAAATTTGCAATTTAGCTGAATGCCACTCTTCCATTCTTTATTTTCATACATCTTGAGACCAGAGAATGAAGAGCAAGCAGTTTCTTTTATGGCATACTAATAAGCTTTGCCTGGCTGTATTATCGAAACAAATGGCTCATGTGTCACAGACTAGAAGAAGATTGTGTTACTAGCATTGCAATTTCATTTCATTTGCTTATCAGAAATCTAGGCTGGGTTCAGATGGGTGTAGCTTTGCATGTCACAACAAGGAAGCAAGGCTGTTGTGTATGTATCTGGAGGCATCTAAAGAAATCTTCCCAGTGCTGAGAAGTCTGCCGGTGACTATTGTTGCAGCAATTGAATTCAGTCATGCTCTCTTGGCTACGGCACAGAACTGCTTATGGAAGCACATCTCCTATTTTAAGAGCAGAGTTAGGTCCTGCTCGATTTGGCCTTTCTTCTGAAGCGTTCATTATTCTACCTTCTCTCAGGGAGCAGAAGTGGCACTTGGTTTGAATTGTAGCATCGTTTTTATTTTGTGATTATTTATTTATTTACTTATTTATTTATTTCAGAGGTCCCTTTCTCCAGTTGCACGATCGATCGGCGTACTAGTCTAGGACTTACAAAAGCCTGGATGGCCACATTTTTACCTGGAAGGCCTATGCTGAACTTCCACTCTTTTGGACCACAGATTCATCAAGTTAGTGGCCACATAGAGCTGTTCTGGATGTCATGGGGAACTACAGCAGAAGATGCTTTTCATCCATCCAGGTATGTCAAAGGGCTCTGACTGTTGCTGTAACCCATCCCAGCTGAGGCACGGATTGAAGTATTGGTGTTTGATCTTCACCTAGACATGACTTAATGCATCTCAAGCGCTCTACCCCTAGCACAGGTGACCTGTGAGGAGGATAGAGAAGATGCAGGAGGTGTCACATGCATAGCAAGGGTGATGTGTAGGCCACCAGCTAGGTGTACCAGTCAGTTGACCTCTGAAACAGGCTGTTGATCCCAGTGGGAGAAATGTCTGAATAGTGATGTCAAAATGAAGGAGCTGAAGGTTTGCCTTTTTTTTTTTTTTTCTTCCCCCTTCATCACCTGCCAGTTCCAGGCCAGAGTCGGGGGTGTTGCATGTACGGCCTGTGGAGCTGTGTCATTTGGCCCTCGGGACTCCCAGGGAGCTGGGAGTTTGGGGTGGGGGCAGCAGGAGTGAGACCCACCACTGAAATTAGGGGTATGGAGCACCACTGGGCATGTATTGGCAGCAAGGTTAAGTGAGGGTTGCATGGAGATCCTGCTCAGGGCAGGGGGGAAAAGGCAGGGCGAATTTGATGGCAGGCCCACTAACTGCATGGCATGAAACCTTCTGTCCCCTGTTGTAGGCCCATGGTGGTGGTGATGACCTGAGAGCTGTGGAAGCCAAGGGTTTGTCTGTGTTGGCTCTGGGCTGTGCCTGGGACTGCCCTGGAGAAGGATGCTCGGCCCCCTCTTTGTGCTCCAGCTCATGGGCTTGAGGCTGCACAGCTTTGAGCAGCCTAGCACCAGCATGGCTCTTGAGCTGTCCCTTGTCTGGAGTGCGTGGCCTGTGCTCCAGCACGGCAGGGCAGCTGTCCCTACAGTCTGGGCTTCAGCAAGACCGAGGCACATGGCCGAGCAGTGCCCCTGGGCTTGGTCTGGGGTTGGTGCACATATGCCCCAAGTGTCCAGGGGGGTTTTGAAGGTGTTCAGGTAGCTCCAGGGCAGGATGGACTGTGGTGTTTCAGAGGAGAGCACTATTGTGCATTTAGGAGGGTGTTGGCCATATGACCCATAGGCTGGATCCAGCCCCTGGAGCCCCATAATTCAGCTCCTGGTGCTGCCCCATTGCCCTCTATGCTGGGGCTGGATTCTGGGCTGTCTCTCTCACTGGAGCTGCCACCCTGGACTGGCTCGGTAGGTGCCACATGCACTGGATCAGGCAGGAAGGTTGCAGGGGGGGTCCATGGGCCTGATCCAGTCTGTGGACCCTCCCCATAACACTTATTCAGCCCATGGGGCCAGCTGAGTTTGACACCCCTGACTTCCAGCTTTAAAAAAAAAAAAATTGTGCAAGCTAGGGTCTGGCAGGATCTGTGAACGTGCCTGTTTTATCTTTGCTGGGGACTGCATATAGCCAAGAACGCTTGCTTAAGGCAGCGGCCAGAAGCAACTGAACTCCTTCCCGAATTCAGACAAGTGGGACAGTAGTGGACTCCATCCGGCAGGCACCCTGGCTTCATGCTGTTGTTTGGAAGAAAGGCTCAGAATAGGCACCTCTGGGTGTGGGATGCTCACTGGCTATTGTTTTCTGAAGGCCTCTGTCTTGGACAGACTCAGAAAGACCAGAGGGATGAGTCATGGCCTGAACAAAAGCTGTGTGGGGCCTTCAAAAGCCTAGAGGCTTGTCTTGGAGTTGCAAAGAAACTGTTCTGTATTCCTCAATTCTTGTTGTAGTTAAAGAAGAAAGATATTGCAAGCCTGAAATGCTCAGAATTTAGCTAAGTGTTCAAGCTGGAAAGGACTGACATCTTCATAATGTCCTGCAAATGCCATACTAATTAGTGATCAGATAGGTGACTGGTCACTAACCCAGTAAGTTTAGGTTAAATATGCAGTGTAGCTAAACATCGATTTCAGAAGTGAATGTTTAAATCCGTGTCTGCAAAGCTCTGTCATGATCTTTGTACATCTAGTATGAGAATAAATTGGAATCAGGGTTGTTGAAGGCAGAGCACCTGCAGCCCCTGTATTTCAGCGCTGCCTCTGTTAAAATCTGCATGCCTCTAGGGTGTCTCACTTCTAGGAGAAATTTTTCCCTATTCAAAGCCTTTGCTGAATTGAAGAATTTAAAAATAAAAATAGACTAGAAGAGTGCACAGCTCCTTTGTACAGCATGCTCTTTCATATCCTAATCATTCAATAGATAAAACATGAGCATGGCTCCCTGGTGCCATTGTCTGTGCTCAGTGCAAAATATTATTCCAAAGTACATACATCAAAAAGACAAATTATTTCCTTTAACTTAAAATGAAGAAAAAAATGGCAAAGGAAAAGGAAGTCAAACATCATGTACCTCAAGAGATGACTTAGGGGCATGTTTTGGCAGAAAAGGAGATCTAAGTAAAGAGCAAGTACTTGCTCCCAGACCTTTTGTCTGGTGATTTGAGCTCTCCAGCTCTGGCCTACCACAGTTAGTGATGTCTTTCCTGTTTGAAAAGTAACCGCTGGAACTGCCTTGCCCAAATCCATATTGACCCATTTGGGAATAGTCCTCACTTACTCCATAGGAAACCTGAACCTGGGCTATATTTGTCAGTGTTTCCATGGATTGGTGGTATAAGTATGGGCAAACCTAAAATGGAGGTTGATGAAGTTCCACGTATGCGTCGGTGGCACTGAGATGTGGATCGCTTGCTTCAGTGTTCAAATTGGAAACCATGTTGGGTAACGAGCATCACTAGTCATGTGCCGGATTGCTTCCAAGTGAAGTGTTCTGAATCTGGTTTCATTATGTTTTACATAATCTCCAGTGTGTGTGGTGGGTTGGTTGTTTGGCTTCTTTTGTTGAGTACAATAACAACGAGTAATGAAGCAGCCAATGCTTTTGAAAAGTTGGTATTTTCCCATACAGGAAATTAGCTGGACTATTACAGTACTTTCTCAGCATTGAAAGATCTGCAGTGCCTTCACTACACGCTGACTTTCTTGTGACACCTATATTTAAAGCAATTAGCATGAACGCTACTGCCACTGGTTCAAAGACTAACAGAACAAATTAATCTATAGTCTAGAGGCTTGTTGTCCAATAGCTGAATGAACTTCAATGTTGACCTCATTAGGCTAGAAACATTCTTTTATTTGATTTGGAAGAGTTTTTGATGGTAGGCAGATAATGTTTGAATATGAATATTCCTATTTCTATAGGTTTTTATGGTTTTGGTTGTTGAAACTAGGTCTAGGTGGGGCAAGGACGTAGTCTCTCTGAAATAAGCATGGGAGAACCAGGTTGAAATCCCTGATCCATCCGATGCAAGCTTTGTACTTCGGTGCATTGAAGAATCCCTGATCCATCAGATCTGGGCCACAGGTGAGATCCTGAGTCTGCCACATACTAATTAAGTGCCATAACAGCCAGGCTACCAAGTGCCGAGGGGTGGTTCTCAGTCTCTCTTGTTGGAACCACTTCCCTTTGCAAACGTTTTTAGCGGGCCACCGTTTTCTGCGGTTAGGGTTCTTGCTTGGTATGCGGAAATTTAAGACCCTGTTCTGAATGAAGCACGGTGCAACTCTAACCTGGATTTCCCCTGTCCTGGGTATGTACCCGAAGCACTGGGCTATGGGCTGTTCTGACCAGCGTCTCTTCCCCTTTATTTATTTATCGGCACTTCTCAGCCAATCCTTTGGAGCGCCTGCTGGGCTCTAGTTGTGACGCTCGTTGAAATCCACATGACTGCTATTTAATGATTTAAATAGTCATGAATGATTTAAACAGTCATGAAGGGAGCTCTGAGAGAAGCGCACGTAAACATACAGCAAATATCCAAATGTTCCTTGAGAGAAATTTTAATTGCTTACCATGTTATAACCATTCCATTATGCATTGCTTGTAGTATTGCAAAAGCATGGCTACAGTCAGAAAATCAACTCTAAAATGACATCTGGTGTTTATTTTCCATAAATATCTTCCGCATTAAATATTCTTTAATTTAAAAGTCACCACATGATTTGTTTAATTACTGCACCAGCAGAATTTCACACGCAGTATCTGAAAATCCAGTTATGTTCCTTCCCACTTTGGGAATTTGGACCATGGCAGGATGCCCCGAGGCACAAGAGATAAGGATGACTTCTTCCCTTATTATATTGACTTCCTGTGGCGGCAATAATCCAGTTCTGATTTTTTTTTTTTTTTTTTTTTTTTTTTTTTGTAACTAAACTTAAACCTATTTGATGGGGTAAGGTGAGGAGAAAGCTTGGAGAGGACAGGTGAGCTGGTTCATTTTCCATTCCTGAAAACCTGTCAGCAAGGAACTTGAAGCTGCCCGAGATTTGAAAAATATAAAGTAAGGTTCACCATCACCTTTCACCCATGTCAGGAGTGAGTACAAGCCAGTCAGACTGGCTGCAGCTCCCTCTTTTATCAATAATAAGAAGCAAATCTCTTGTAACATGGCACCCGCTGAAAGGTGAAGGCCAGCTTGAGGTCTTGGAGCGAGGTTTTCAGGGTGCTAAAGTCTTGTTCACAAACTGCAGAGGAGACGATTTTACCCTGCATTTAATAAGGTAACACTTTGTTCCATGTAAAAGCCAGCATTAGTAACGAGGTCACGCTGCCATGAATAAACATAAGCCGATGCCTGAGTTCAGGAAAGCACTAGCGTGCGTGTTGGCCAGAGTCCTACTCTGAATTGGATTCTGAAATATTAGACTTGGCTGGTCTAATACTAGTTTAATATTTTAAATTAAACTTGGGAAAAGTTATCTTTCAATGCACCGAAGTACAAAGCTTGCATCTGAAAATTTTCCATTTTTCTGCAGACCCCTACAGCACTGTTGCAGGTGATTAGCTTCTGTGGCAGGCTAGTGCCCTTGAGCCTCTTAGAAACACCACATTAAACGATGGCTGAACTCTTGCATCTCGGGTAGCTGCCTCTGCATACAGAGCAAGTCTTTCTGGGACAAAAGGACTTCCGCCATAAGAGCGCCGCGTGCACGCACGTCTGTCGTACTTGCGTGGTAGGAGGGAAGTGCTCCTTTGGCCGTGCTAGGAGCGGATGTGTCAAAGACTCATCGGTTAAGTCTTTCACAAGCAGACGTCTACCATGACCGACGGCGCGGCTCTAGGGAAGAACCAGCAGTCTGTGTTCAGGATTCGCATACAAAGGGGTGAACAACTCAACCCTGAATTTCCCCACCCCCCTAATCACAATGTGAGAGTTGGAGATGTCCATTTATTCACTCTATAGCCTGTTGGAGCCAATATGATGATGATTTGCTTTATAGCGAGTCAGACTAATAGCTCTGAAATTGTTACGAGCCGTCAAATGGAGAATCTCCCATGTATCAAATCCCTAAGAATTTTGTATTCACATACCTGCTTCCTTTAAAAAAACAAAACCAAAGAAACAACCCCCCCCCAAACCTTTTATAGCCGAACTTGAGAAGAAGGGATTCATTGAATTAAGAATTTATTTTCAGTATACTTTTAACTGTATTGAGATGCTGCTTTCAGTTGTGGATCCGAACGTTCATTTTGAGTTGAAGCGTTGGTCCCAAATCTTAATTTTTTTCTACTGACTGGGGGAAATGGGCAATATAACTTTATGCTAAGTTAAATGTAACAAGCAGCTGAGGGAAGTAATGGAGACAATAGAAAGGCTGGAGAAATTGGGATCTACTTCATAAAGAATTGCAGCATGCCGGCAGGATGGAAAAACTCGGAGGCATCCATAGTCCATGGAAATAGGAAGTCCTTTTGAACTGAAAACCCTTTGGAATTGAGCTGGTTTTCTGTCTGGAAAGAAGCTATTAGCACTTTTTCTTCCAGTGCCAAGGTCCCCTTCTGGCACTTGGAACGGAGAGTTTCAGGATTTTCTCTTTTCTTACCCCCCTCCCCCCCCCCCCCCCCCAAATAAAACAAAACAACCCCAAAAAACAGTTTTGTGTGGATCTTAGTTTTTTTTTTACATGTTACCAGCAAACAAACCAATGAACAACCTTGGGCACTTGTCCTTCCAAACAATTGCTTCCACTTAATTTTACTACGTAATGTTAATGGCATCTTACATTTGGGTATTTAGAGTTTTTGGTAGAATAAAGGCTACAAAGTCAGACACCACCCAACCCTATAACCTGGCAATTGAGGGACTTTGTTTCATATCATTAAGAGGATCTTTCAAAATATTATGATCTGCAAACTTGAAAACTAAAACGTGTTTAAAGGTAGTCATTGGTAGTCGTGTCTCGGCTGGAAACTGGTGTCATGTATATTTTTCAAGTTACTGGAATGTGACTTTTTGCCTCTTGGAGTCACCTTTTAAGAAAAGGATTTATATTTGATATATTATTAAAGGTTAGAGTCATTAAGAAATATATTAGATCACCATCTAGACTTTACAGAATGATTAAGCTTTGTTTTTTGTGAAATTCAGTCTTGAGAACATGAGGATGTTTAAAGGGAGGATTAGCTTATGCATCACATGAATGAACAGAAGAAAATTGGGGATAAAAACACTTTTCAGCGACTTCCAACAAAGGCACATTCAGAGGCTAAAACTTAAAAAGACAAATGAGCCACATCTTTGATCCACTGTGATATGTTAGAAGAAAATGTAGTAGACGATGCTATAAATCAAGTAAATTTGCCATCATTAACGAATATCTATTTCATATGACTGACTCCTTATCTTTATAAGGATCTTTAGCCTGCAGTGTTGTGGCCTATTACTATCTGCAGCCATTTTCTCTTGAAGAAATTCAAATAAAATCTTAGATTGATAATAACTGAACTATAAACCTCCATAAAGCATGGATGATTACTTGCCCAAATTGAAAATGCAGCGGGTTACACTTACTCAAATAAGCTCATAATGAACGTCGATAACAGGCTAATATTGTGAGTCTTCCTAGAACAGTCTCACTAAGGTGAGGGCATAATGTTGAAGGCTGATTTCATAATGAGAAAAGTCCTTAACTTCCTTACAGCGTGAACAGTAGGACAAGCTTGCCTGGGAAGTTGTGAAGCCTCCTACACAGGGGACTTGCAAGAGTGTGTTGGATAGTCTGGGTTGCTTTGGAAGTAGCGTAATATGGATTCATGCAGGTGTTTGGAGTAGGTGACCCTGAGGTCTCCTCCAGCCTTATAATGCTAGGATCGATCCCTCTATGCATACCCTATTTTCTTGCATGTAACACTATCCACCTAATAAAACATGCACCTTATTTTTGGAAGGTAGACTGTTTTGGGGGGCAGGATTTTTCGAGTGTCGTGGCTGACTGTGTGACAGATGAATTCCTCTGGGAACAAAAAGTCCAAGAAGTCTGGAATCGGGAACTTCCTGGTGTAGCAGATGGTCTCCTGGGATGCCACACTTCCTGAATGCTGTTTCCAGGGGGGTTTACTCGGTCACATGAGCTTTGACCCTACCCTTTGAACCAACAGTCTTGCTACTGCCCTTTTGCTTTGCTGCAAGTCATTCTTTATGCAAGTTCCTGTAAATAAAATGTGGTTTCCACATCACAAGTGTCATCCAGACACTACCAGGAGGTCACTTGCTGCTTTGGACACAAGTTGTAGTGCTCAGCCAATAGTTGCAGGTGTGAGAGGGTTAACCCAAGACTCTGCCCCTTCAGTTTCCAGAGCAGACCTGAGCATCAGCCACCTTGGTAGCTGCACAGTGTCTCCAGGAGGAGTCATTCTTCCAGTGAAGAAAACATTTTTCCGACTTAAAACGTGCACCCAAACTTTGGGGGCCTGATTTTGGGGTGAAGAAGTGCATGTTAGATGTGAGAATATATGAGACGATTTGAAACTATAACAGGTTAGCCATTAGATTTTAATTGAACATAGCATGTGAAATACTGCAGTGCTGGGGACAGTTTTCTGAGGTTTGCGGTCCTTTGACTGCCCTACTGAAAAGAATGGATTTAAAGTTAGGATGCAAAGTGCTGGGCAAGATTTGACCCTTCCCATCATGGGCAGGAAGCTCTGAGTTGTAGGACTGACATTTCATGGAAGGCAGCCCCAAAACACTCACTAATCAGCATTTCTTGGGAACAGAAGTAACTCCAAGTAGGAAACATCCTGGGATGGTGCATGATTAACAGTAGAAGGACATCTTACTGCAGTGCCCTAAATTATCATTGAACCATTGCAAAGGGAATGTTAATATTTAGTTATATAGGCCTGAGACTAATTATATATCAGTGTAAAAGATTATCATCCCATTAAATTTTTTACTGCTCATTGCTCTCATTTCATGCATAACCAGGATTAACTTATTACTAGGTGATGTCCTTAACTCAGAGTGCTTGAATTGGATCATTTCATCTTAGCTATCAAGGCTATCATCTACCTTGAATGCACAGTGTTGATGTGGTAGCTGAAGGCATCATTGTGTCGCTTGTGACTTCTTGGGTTATTGCCCTTGTTGGACTTGTTCTCATACTTTATCTGTCCTTTTGTCCTCAGAGGCAGACATGCCGACTGAAAAGAAAGGAGCATTGATAACCAGCATACGGGATAATGCCTGTCTGCTAGAAACAGAGCAGTAAGAAAGGCAGCTGTTTGGACAATTGACAGGTGAAAACATCCTTCTGCTGTAAGTGTGTATATAGCTCACAGTTACCATAGTTCTCTTGGGACTGTATACTTTTTGAAGCATGCTCCTAATCCTGTTCCTGTTGAACTCATGGATAATATGGTCATCAACTTTAATGGGAGGAGCTTTGCTATTAGTCAATAATCCATTGTGGGCAACAGCATATGTACCGAGAGATTGGTATCTTATCCTTCAATGCCACTGGCACTGATGAATCACTATGCAGATGCCTTCTGTGGCGGGGCTGTGCTGAGCCACCCACCTCACTGCACCTGACCACCTACCAAGCTCCGAGTGCCTCCCCGACTCCAGATGAGGCCTCACCAAGGCCGAGTACAAGGGGAGAATGACGTCCCGGGATTTGCTTGAGAAGCATCTATGGATGCAAGCCAGCATTTTGCTTGCTTTACTAGCCGCAGCATCGCATTGCAGGCTCATGTTCATCTTGTGGTCAATCATGACCCCCAAGTCCCTTTTGTCCATAGTGCTAACCAGCGTGGCACTGCCGAGCCTGTAACCATGCTGCAGGTTTTTCCTCCCAAGGTGGAGAACCTTGCATTTTTCAGTGTTAAACACCATCAGGTTCTCATCCTCCAACTTCCTGAGCCTGTCCCGGTCAGCCTGGATCACCTGTCTGTCTTCAGGTGTGGATGCTTTACCCCAGAGTTTGGTGTCGTTGGCAAACTTGGCCAGTCCGCTTCTGACTCCACTGTCCACATCATTAATGAAGATGTTGAACAGTATGGGTCCAAGGACAGAGCCTTGAGGGACCCCACTGGTCACAGTGCACCAAGATGATTGACTTCTGTCAATCACCACCCTCTGGGTCCAACCACCGAGCCAATTCTTCAGCCAGTGGATCGTGGTGAGGTTGAGGCCGCAGTTGGCCAGTTTAGCTAAGAGGTGATTAGGATGGGATGGAGGATGGGAAAGGATGGAGGATGGGAGTCACCTCCAAGGAGGATTATTCTGCACTGGTCCGGTGCTGTAGGGAGCAGACCAGGAAAGCCAAGGCTGCAACTGAACTCCAGCTAGCTTTGAGCATCAAGGACAATAAAAAGTCCTTTTTCAGATATGTGGGGAGCCGGAGGAAAAGCAGGGGCAACGTTGGACCCCTGCTGAACCAGATGGGGCAACTGACAACTGACGCCCAGGAAAAAGCCAACCTATTAAATAGGTACTTTGCGTCGGTCTTTCATCAGTCCCATGGGACGCCCATGGCTGCTACGGGAGGGGGAAGTCCGGGTGAGGGTGATCCCCTGCCCTCCATT